CTCTCTCTCTCCCTCTCTCTCTCCCTCTCTCTCCCTCTCTCTCTCCCCCTCCCTCTCTCCCTCCCTCTCTCCCTCCCTCTCTCTCTCTCTCTCTCTTTCACACACACACACACACACACACACCCTTGCCAGTGTGTACCAGTGAGCCTCTGCAGATCCATGGGCGGGCTTGTGTCCCCACAACCCTTTCAGGCATATGGACACAGATGGATACAGTGAGACAGAGAACACTATTTTTAGGAAGTAAGTCCAGGCAAAAGAGGTGGCTTCCCAATTTATGGAACTGATTGCTCACAGTGGAGAGGGTTGCCCTGTAAGAAGCTGCTGTCATCCAGACTGGTTTCTTTTTTCATTTTTAAAATAAAAAGACGAATGAGTTTATTGTTTCTGTAAAAATAATGCAAGCTCATTATCAAGAATTCAAGCAATGAAGACAAGTATAAAGAAAATAGCTTGAAATTACCCAAATTTCCACGGGCTAGGAGAAAGAAGTCTTCACTCACATGTGTTAATGAGGGTTATAGATGCCTGTCTGCTCACTCAAAGATGGAAGGGAGACAGGGAAATGCTTTTACAGAGTGGAAACCTACTCCCTCACCTGCTATTTTTAACAAAGATGTTCCTTTAACTTTACTTGAATGAAACAAGAAAAAGACACAGAGTGCTCTTAACGCGCAGGTCCTGGGACCTCTGTCCTGCCTCCCTTCACAGTTTTCATGCTGCACTTCCCCAGGGACCAGAGGCACACTTTTGAGGCCTGAGTGTGTTGTGTTTGCTCACTATTTACCTGCCTCGTGGCCAGGTGCCTGCTTCACAGCAATCCAGTGCTCAGGGCTGCGACCCCCAGGTCCAGGCCCTTCGGCGCCCACGTGCAGGGGTTGGCACAGCAGCAGCTCTCTGGGGTCATCGGTGACATGTTTTGCAGGAGGAAGATCAAGGCAAAGCTGACCCTCATGAGGGAAAAGGATTCTGTTCTGGCAGAGATGTCCAACAGGTGTCCACCGTGCCCTCTTGAACGGGTGCCCGCCATTCCCGGGTTTGATGTGGTAATTAGCGATGCAGCCTCCCAGCCTGGTGTCAGAGTCAGGAGCTGCTCTGACCGCATCCTGTTTTTGTGGGGCAGTTGGGACTGCATTCCTCTGCCTCGGTGTCATAGGCAGAGTGTGTTCACACCAGGTTCTGGATTGTTGGAGGCCACCAGGGGCCACATTCTCCCGGTTTGGCGTCACATGCATGTGCCGGCTGGATGTCCTCGCTGATGAGTGGTCACCGTTTTCCGGTTCTGCCGTCACTTGGAATCAGCATTTATTTATTCACATTTGGGAGGAGGGGAGCAAGGAGCAGTGCGAGGAGCCAGAGATGCTCCATCAGCTCTTCCCGTTATGATTCAATTTATTGTTAGAATTTTATTTGGTTATTACAAAATCTGTAAGAGTGTATGTATTTTTAAAGGGGATGGGGGACATGGAAGGCAGAGTTATCTTCAGGTTACCTGAAGTGCCAAGCTAATTTTAACCTTTCCAAGAACGGGAAATAGCTCAGATGGGCAAGGGAAGCATTGCCCATTTTTTGAGCCAGATTGTTTGGGAAGGCTGCCACACCCTGGGGATTTCCTTGGGAGCCTCTCTGTAGGGGCTCCAGCATCTGGATGAGAACTCCAAGCTGAGAAATGTCTCAAGTGGTGACAGTTAAGGAACCAAAAGATGCAAGCGTTTCCTGTTGTGTGGAATGGGGCAAAAAGAAGGTGCTTGGATGACACAGTCACTCTTGCCTGCTTGAATTCAGACATACTTGTTAGGAGGGGAAGGGCAGGTGGCCCTGCTGCCTGTCCACATGCGTGCCCCGTAGCCGGCCGGTGTTGCCCAGGTGTGCCTGTGGAGTGGTTGGCGTCCTGGAGTCTAGAGCCTCTCTACAAACTGTGTCCCTCCCTCTGGTAGCACAGCCACCCCCAGGAGGTCTGCCCGCCCTGCCCTCTGTCCCTGTGCATAGCATCAGGGCCACTGTCTGTGTCTTCCAGCTTCCCCGCAGGCAACGTAAGGAGAGCCTGTGCCCAGAAGCAGGATGAGAAGATGGCAAACCTCCTGTTACCTCGGGGCACCAGCGGCTTCCACAGGTTCACACGGGAGTCCCTGGCGGCCATCGAGAAGCGCATGGCGGAGAAGCAAGCCCGTGGCTCGGCCGCCTCGCAGGAGAGCCGAGACGGGCTGCCAGAGGAGGAGGCGCCCCGGCCCCAGCTGGACCTGCAGGCCTCCAAAAAGCTGCCAGATCTTTATGGCAATCCACCCCGAGAGCTCATCGGGGAGCCCCTGGAGGACCTGGATCCCTTCTATAGCACCCAAAAGGTGACTACCGCCCACCTCCAACCCTGCGTGCTCTTCTGTGCAACTCCCTTGTCAATGGAGCAGACGTGGAGAGGGCCTGGTCTCCATATGGGTCTGTGTTTAGGGCAGCTTGCCAGGCTTTGGGGGAATGAGTCACTGGTGATCTAGATTCCAATCACCTTAATTTTGGAGTTCTGGAATAAAAGACAGGAATTATGCAGCCTGAGATGCTCGTTCGGTGTAATAAAGAAAAGAGAGGGTAGCCTTAGGGACAGTCATGCCTCCTATGACTACCTTCTTTGGGAATGACCCGTGGTTAGATTTTCACCTCTGAAGGACTCCTCCCCATTGTGGAGTGTGTGTGTGTGTGTGTGTGTGTGTGTGTGTCTGTGTGAATTGGAATCAAGCCCTGAGTCTCAGCCTGCGTTTCAGCCCCAGAGTATAGCATGTGGTCCCTTCTTACTGGGGACAGCGTGTAGCCCCCACACCCCACCTGCCTGACAACATGAACCTGCTGTGCAGGGCTGTGCTGGCTGGCTCAGGCCACAGCCACAGCAGCAGCTCCCTGAGCTTTGAGAGCTGGCAAGGGACCAGGAAGGCCAGTGGGGAAGCTGAGAGGGATGGAGGGGGCAGTGACTGCTGGGGGATTTTGGGGTGAGGGTGGCGCATGGTGTTCTGCCATTGTCCCTTCCATGATAGGGAGGAGAAGCGGCTTTTGTCCGCTAGGGCAGGGAGACTCAGGCTCCCTCCCAGCATGGCTCCGGCCCACGAGGTAACGGTCCCCGTCTCAGTCCCCTGCCCTGGCCTCCCTCCTCTGGGTCTCAGGCCCATTTGTGTCCCAGCCGTGCACCCCACCACACACAGACGTCCCGCAGAGGCTTGGTCACCCAGCCACCCACACTTCTGGGCCTTACTTCCAGAGGAAGGAGAACTGGAATTTGGGGAAGGTCTTTTTCCCAGAAGGCTGGATACAAGGAAGACAGTGCCATGCATGGTACTGCAGTCAGCACCAGGCTGAGGAAGCTCATGGGGCAGACAGGGCTGGTGTGGCAGGTGCGAGAATGTGACTGCAAGGGGGTGGGACTGCAGTGTGAGACCGAGAGCCTGGGGACGGGCCTGGGGTGCGTCTTTGGGTGTGCATGCATGCATGCCTTGTGTGTGTGAGTGGGTGTGCGTGTGAAGGAAAAGCCCACCCAGTCCACATAAACAGGCAGGGGAGGAGGCTTTGAACTTGGTCTGCTCCCAGGCCCCCAGCTGAACTTTCCCTTGGTTCCAGTGACTCCAGTGGAGTCCAGGCCAAACTGGGCCACAGCTGGTATCCAAGTGAGGCTGGAAGGTGGGATTAGTCAAGGCGGGCGGGCCTACGTCATGGCTGGTCAGAGATGGAAGTGGGAATTGGGGTTGGGGTGAGGCCACAGCTGCTAGTGAGTCAGTTACAGGGGGAGGATGAGTGGCGATCAGGCTGGAGTTAGCTGGGACAGGCAGCTCCACAGCAGGTGGACCCCACTGAGGCGAAGTCGAGCCTGGGCTGGGCTTTTGGGGGCTGGTGGCAGCTGAGGAGTCAGGGACACCATGTCTTCTGTCCATGGGTCTGGGAATGCTTTAACAGCAGCTCCAGGGGTGATTCTGGCCTCCCACTTTCTGTTTCCACTCGTGGATCCCTGGCCACGCTGCCTGCAGCCCCACAGGGCAATGGAGGCCACAGCAGAACTTTTGGTCCTAATCTATCTGGTCAGCTTGTCTTCCCAGACCAGGTTAGGTAGACCCTTGTCCCACCAGCTCAGCCTGTGGAGAAGTGAGACCACAGAGCTGTGACCACCGCACACCGGGGCAAGTGGGGAGGCACTGCGGTCCTCAAGGGCTGCTTGGGCACCTGACATGCATGTGGCTCAGCGTTCAGCTCTCGTCTCTCCCGTGCCCCATTGCTGTGTAGAAAGGATCTTCTATACAACCCTCCATTCTAGATCAGGGAGGGGTTGCATTGCACTGTTCATGACCCCCTGGAGGGGCGGTGGGCTGTGACCTGCAGGATGGGGCTGACATTTGTCCTGGACTCCAGGAGACAGGGTCCCAAGTCCCCTTGGGGACTGCTTCTGCATTTTCTTTTTCCCTTCTCCTTACCTCTGGGTCCTCCCTGCTGACTCAGCTTCCCTTTCACACCCTCCCTTCCAGTGGGGCTGGCAGGGACCCCATGCATGGTGAGGAGGGTCAGCTAAGGGAGAAGCGGAGGGAGGAGGCATTCCCAGGTGTGCTGAGCCTCTGCTGTGACAACAGCTGGGCAAAGACTGTGAAAGGTCCCTTCTTTTTGTGACTATAATTTTGAAACTAAATCTCAACCAACCTGACATCCCCCTAAACTAGACCTCCCTCCCCATGACCCATGGGTTGGTTAGATACCTGGAGGAGAAGCCCCCCACCTGCTGAATGTGCTGTCAGCCTCCCTTCCCCTTTCCTCCCTCAGTCCCTCTCCTCCTCCTCCCACCCCACCCCTCAGTCACAGTCCAAGGGCTCTGAGCCAAAAGCTGCCCCAGAAGCCTTGCTACACAAGGGCCTAATGTTACTGTCTGTCCCCAGACTTTCATCGTGCTGAATAAAGGCAAGACCATCTTCCGGTTCAGTGCCACCAACGCCTTGTACGTCCTCAGTCCCTTCCACCCCATCCGGAGAGTGGCTGTGAAGATTCTGGTTCACTCATATCCTTTGCAGTCAATAGCTGCTGAGCATCCCCTGGGGGCCCACACTGGGGATGTGCACAGGGTGCTGCCCCCACCCACCTCCATCCTAGTTTAGGAGTGACAGTGCTACTGATTCCTTGCTGGTCCTAAGACAAGCAGCATGGCCATGACCTGGGAACTGGTTAGAAATGAAGAACGTCTGACCCTGCTCCTGACCTGCCAAGTCAGCATCTGCATTTTCCTTTGATCCCCAGGGGATTCTTGAGCACATGAAGGTTTGAGAAATCCCCTTCTGATTCTTCAGGAGAACAATCTAAAAGCTAAGCTTCTGAGGATGCCAGAAGAAATGACATCTGTCAGGCTCTGCTGTTGGCTCCAAATGTCCCCTCCCACCACACCCCCTTGGGCTGTCCTCCTCCCCACCCACTTGCAGGGACCTTCAAGCAGGTCACCAGGCCTCAGCCAAGGAAAAACCGTTCACCAGTAAAGAAGCCTCCAGTTGTTCACATGGGGGCATCTTTTGAGGGAGGCAGCACTTGCTTTTTGATTAGGTGTTGACAAAATGTTTGCAGTTTCAGAGTATCTCAAAGAACTCTGGTTAGCATTAAATTATATAAACCACAGCTGAAAAAAAAGCTCCAGCCTGCAGAGGAGAGCCACAGTAGTGATGCGGTGTAATGACAGACTTCACGGGCTCGGGCCTGAGAGGGGAGTCAGTGGGCAGCACATGGCGGTGGGGTGCCAGCACCTAATCACTCTGTTCTCTGGACTTCAGAGAAGGGGCCCCACAGATGGAGCCTTTAGGGAGGGGGTGCCAGCTGCAGAGTCAGAGGCATGAGTATTTTACTGCAAGGGCCTGGGCAGTCCTCCCTGTGGCCAGTGACAACCAGGGTGAGTGCGCCCATGCAGGTGGCTCTGCTGTTCATCTGAGCAATGCTGCTAGCTCAGCAGTGGGACTGATTGTGGGTCTAGTGGGCTGGGCCCACAGAGCTCCCCAAGATCCCCTTCAGCCCCTTCTCTGAATGGACTTTTTTGAGGCCAAGATAAAGACTTCACTCACCTCCGGCCAAGGCAGGAGGCTTCAGGATGACAGCTGCCTAGTGAGGGACTAAGTAACCAGGACCAAGGCTGGCAGGTCAGGAGCTTTTCTTGTCCAGGCAGGGATGGAAGGTGCTCCTTCTGTGCTCCACTTTCTTCCCACCTGTGTCCAGTGCCTGATCCTGATCCCAGGGGATAACTGGAGGGGTGTGTCTGTGTGCAGATGCGCAGTGAAATGCATGCCTCCAACCACGTGTCTGCTCTCCGCCAGCCCACCCCTGCCTTTCTGGTGGGGCTCCTGAGACAACCCCAAATGCAAGCCGTGGCTGTGGCATCTGCAAGGTGGGAGGCAGACACTGTGGAGAGGGACACATGCAGGGGGCAGCCTGCCGTTCACAGCTGCGTCTTACTGTAGGGCAAGTGTGAGTCCAGGCTTCATCCTGAGGCATCCCGAGTTTCCTGTGGGTGTCAGGGGGCTTGCTGGGCACCCTGGAGTATCTAGCCCACAAGGACCCCATCTCGCCCCTTGGGAATTTTAAAGTCCCCTAAAAGTGATAAGGCAGCTTCGCAAATAGTTATCATTTCTATGTAGTTATCACTTCTATTTAGTTATCATTTCTGCCAGAGTGCAGTCACGGCCTGGAAAGCAGAACAGAGCAGGAGCAGGAGGAAAAGCCAGCTGCTTTCTTGCTCTGAGCCTGTCTCCAGCCCCACTTCAGGGGCGCAGCCTCTCTCAAAGCATCCTCTGGCCCTCACCTGGGGCTTCTCCTCCAGGTATCTAACCAACCCAGCGCTGTTTGGCAGCCACAGAAGCCCTTGGGGAGGCAGCAGCAGCTCCAGGGCTCCCACAGGGGCTAGGCTGGGCGTGGAAGCAAATGAAAGGTCAAGGAGGCAGGTGGGCAAGGGAGGCAGTGGGGCCCCTCGAATGCCCAGCTGGGCCAGAGGGTCCATTGAACAATGGCTCTGAGGCTGTGAGGTCCTGCTTCCACCTGGAAAAAATGGCCGTGAGGACTCAGAGCCAGCCTGCCTCCCCCAGGACAGCTGCCCCAGGGAAATGCGGAGCATGAGTGAGGACCTGTGCTGGGTTCCCAGTAGCTGCCTTGACACTGCTGCTGCCTGGGGATGGCAGCACATTGCTGGCCCTCAACAGCGCCACGTAGTGGGCTCAGTGGGCACTGGGGGAAGAAGAGGCCTGGGTTGTGGGGTTTAGGAGCAGACCATTTGCAGCACCGTTGAGCCTTCACATCGAGTGTGGTATGTGAACCAGTGGCATCAGCTTCACCAGGACGTTGTAGGCATGGCCGAATCTCGGGTCTCACCCCAGAACCTGTGTTTTAGCAAGGTCCCGTGTGCACACGATCCTAGCACGGCTGCTCCCAAATGCCAGTCTGAGGGCCACCTTGGTCTCACTGGGGAAGTTGGTTACAATGCAGATTCTTGGCTTTTTCCGGATCAGAATCGCCAGTGTGAGGTCTAGAAATCTACAAGCGCTCCATGAATTATTTTTTAAATTTGAGGTATACTTCATATACCATAAAATTGACCATTTTTAAGTGCACGGTTCAGTGGTTTTAGCATGTTCATCGGGTTGTGCAGCCATCTCAGCATCTGCTTCCAGAGCGTTCGCATTGCCCCAAGGGAAATCCTGCGCCCACTGTCCGCCACTACGCATTTCTAAACATCATCACCTCTCATGTTTTGAATGGTGAACTTTTGCTCTGCTTAAATTTTTATATTCATTCAGACATCTACTAAGTTCTCCATTTGCAGAGTTCCATGCTACACCCTTTGGGAAGGGCAGGTGAGGCAACGATGAACTTAAAAGGGGGCAGGGATGCAGCCTGGTGAGGAAACCTGCTCCCTTGTGGCAACCCAGGAACTCACAGGCAGTAGCGAGCACGCACTGGTCCCGCTCGGCCTTGTTCCGGTCTCCACACTTGCCATGTATCTCTGGGAAGTTACTGAAAAAGCAGATACGGGCATGTAGAATGTTTTTTCTGCGTATGTATTTTTGTTATAATCCTGCAGAATGTGTTCCTGCCGGGATTAAATAAAAGAACCCAGCTGAACTCCATACTCCACCACAGTCACATTCAGAGAGGCCTCACACACACACCGAGACGCATTCTGCCTTCCTGGATGTACAGGATCTGTGCACAAAATCCTCCCACGCTCCTCTACCAGATTCAAATGGGCAATCAAACCACATGTCTCCGTGTGTATGTGTGCATGTTGATTTAATAGCACAAATACATGAAAATACCCCCCCACCCCCGGCTAGAGTTAATTCCCTTTTCTCTGGGAGTTTTTTTCCTTTTTTTTTTTTTTTTTCAACTCCCTGGGATCTGAAGACTTAGGCAGCCCAAGTGTCAGGCATTCCCCACAACTCGAGCAGTCCTTGCTGGCATTTTAATCACAAGGCTAGGAGTGGGTGTTTGGGGACAGTGACATGACAAGATTGAAGATGTTCGGCGGAGCACAGACCTGAAGAGCTGGCCTTTGCCTCAGCCCACACAAGGGACCGGCTCCATTTTTGGCCTGAAATTACAAGGCAGTGCAAACAGGTGTGCCCTGGCTGGGAGCTCAGTTGCCTCATCTCTCTGGCATTGGCTGCGTGCTGGGCTCCATGGGGTCCTGGGTGTGTGTTAGTCAGAGTCATCTGGACCAGGGGCTCAGTCTAGGAAGGAAGAGATCTCATACATGCAGAAAAACTGACTGTTGTCTAAGTGCTGTCCTCAAGGCCACGGGAACCAGGCAAGGATTTTGAGCAGTGAAGTGGCAGAGAGACAAGAGCTTGCTACACCTCACCCTAAGCCATTGCTGTGTCTGGAAAAGATAAAACCCCGATAGATAGATTGCCCACCATGGGACCCAGGCCCTGACTGGTGGGATTCAGAGGGCTGTATGCGCTGGCTCTTCCTTGAGTCTGGGTGTTCTAGTTCTCACTCACCTCTGTCCGGGTCCAGCCTATCTGTAGTACAGTGCAGCCTGTCCATCCTGCTGCTCCCTGCAGGAGAGGAGCTGTGAGTAGTCCCCCTAGAGCTGGGAGGGACTGGGCCCCACCGAGTCCACCACCCAGCCTTCAGCGCACCCTGCTTCACCATGACCAACTGGCCTGACTGGTTGCTGGAGCAACCCTGGCCAGCCTTGGTGCTTATCTAAATGCCTCCTCCAGGAAGCCTTCCTGCCCAGCCCAGCCAGAGGTATGTCTGGTTTTTTCATAACATCCCATGTCAGAGCATTTTGGGAACGTGGCTCCATTGCCTCCCTGCCTCCCACTCACGGCCACACACACATGCTCAGGTGGGATTTCCTCTTACAAACGACAAATAATTTCCTCCCTCCTGTATGGTGGTCTCCCATATTCGATGGTGCTCTTTACCTCTTTTGGTTTTCACACTGCCCTATGGGTGGCAGAGGCCAGGCATGGAATAGCTTGCCTGCTTGGCAAGTGAGAGCTGGAAGCAGCATGACTCATGCAGGCCCTCCAGTCTGGAGGCAGGAGAGTGGCCCCGGGGGCCTTGAATGTCATCTTACAGAGACAGTGCAGCACAGGGCCTTGGAGTGAGGCCAGGATGAGGAGAGCTGGGGTGCAGGCTGGTTCAGCCACTGATCAGCTTGTTCCCTGGAGTACTTTCCCAGGACTGCTGTAACAAATCACCACCAATGCAGTGGCTTAAAGCAACACAGGTTTATCATCTTACAGCGCGGGAGGTCAGAGGTCCAAAATGGTTCTTGCTGGACTCAACTCAAGGTGTCAGCAGGGCTGCACCCTTTTTGGAGGCTCCAGGGGAGAATGTGTTTCCTGGACTTTTCCAGTTTCTGGAGGCTGCACCGGATTCTTGGCCCGTGGTCCACTTTCATCGTCAAGCCAGAAATGGCCAGTTGAGTTTCACATCACAACGGTCTACGTCTCCTTCTTTCACTTAAACAGGATGCCTGTGATTATACCAAGTCTACCTGGATAATCCAGAATGATCTCTCAGCCTCCAGATCTTTAATTTAGGGCCAGGCACAGGGGCTGGCACTTATAATCTCAGTACTTCGGGTGGCTGAGGTAGGAGGATCACTTGAGCCCAGGAGTTCGAGACCAGCCTAAACAACATGGCATGACATTGTGTCTACAAAAAAATTAAAAATTAGCTGGATAGATAGTGCACATCTATAGTCCTAGCTACTCGGGAGGCTGAGGCGGGAGGATCTCTTGAGCCCAAGAGTTCAAGGCTATGGTGAGCTTTGATAATACCATCGGGAGACACTTAATTGAATCACATGTTCCCAGTCTCATTTTGTCATACAAATTAGCATAGTCACAGTTTCGGGGATTCATCTATGGCTGCCTCAGGGGTGCCGGGGGCATTAATCTCCTACCACAGTGACCTTCAACGTGACCACTTTGTGTCTCAGTCTTCTCGCCACCTAAAATGGAAACAAAGTCCCCACCGCATGAGGTTGTTGAGAAAATTGAATTAGCAGATGGACACGGAGAGGAAATTCTGGCATCTAGGAAGGACTTGATAAATATTCATTCTTAGCATCATTGCTTGCATATTTTAGGAGTCACCTGGGATCCTCAGTAGAAGCTTAGCGGTAGATCGTGGGAGTGAATAAAGACTGGTTGGGGGGCTTGTTAACAGTCTACCCAGTGAGGAAAGCCTTGGCACATAGCCCAGGTGTGGGCTGTGTGTGTGTGTGTGTGTGTGTGTGTGTGTGTAAGGGCAAAGGGGTTCTTACACTGAGATGATTAGCTGATCCTGCCTTGAAAGCTGGAGAGGGGTGTAAGCCTGGGCCTGGAGACCCTCACACAGGCAGAGAGCTGGGCAGATACCAAGCTGACGGAGGGACCCTAGGGCCTGAAGCGATGCCTCCTGGCCAGGGAGAAATCATGGCTTCCCGGAGCTATGGCACTGGACCCCAGCAGTCCTGTTGGCTCAGCCCTCGTTTAACTAAGGGAGATTCCCAAAGCCTAATTCCCTCTCTCCCAGATGAGAAATTAGATAATTATAAACTGGAGGCTGGTTTGAGATACTGATTTCCTGATTGCCTGACTCCCTAGAAGAGGACTGGTGGCATGGAGGGCATCTCCCTGGTTAGATTCCTGAGAGGCCTCCCCACTGACCCCAGCTGGGGCAGTCAGCACCGCGGCCGGCCTGGTCTGTGGTTGGACTGCACTGGCCTCCCCGTCAGGCGAGGCGGCGTTGTGCTAGGGAGGAAAGAGGCAGCCCCGGAGCTCAGTTTGCAACTCCTGGGCAGCCCGTGGGCATCGCCAGTTTGGCAGCTGTGCATACAGGGCTGAGGCTGGGCATGATGTCGTGTGCTTGGGGGCAGCCATAGGGTGTGGAAGGCCTAGGCTCTCCTCTGGGGCTGCGGGGGCAGTTTGTGAGAGAAGCACAGGGTCCCTGCTGTAGGCCAGGCCCCCGGGGGCGCCCCAGCTGGCAGGAGGCCCAGAGTCGGCCCACTTCTTCCTCTGTAGGCTGCAGCAGTGAGGCAGAGGCAGAGGAGGGCAGTCAGAGCTTTGTCTAGGCTGAAGCAGCAGCTAGGATTTGTAGCCAGAGTCGGGGTCACCGGAGGCCTGGACAGCTCATTTCATGGCTAGGAGCTCACAAGCAGGCCTGAGGCACAGTTCTGGCATTGAGGACAGGTGGACATTGCTGTTCAGTGAGCCACCATGACTAAAAGAGGGGTGCCCAAAGCCCCCAGGGCACAGAGGCAGCAACATGTTACCAGAAAGGCAGGACAGGCTGCTGGGGAGTTGGGTGGGGTCCCGCCGAGGGGCTCCTGCGGCGAGAGGATTTCTAGGTGGAGCTTGAAGGGCAGGTGCACACGCAGGAAGCAGCCAGCGGGGCAGCTCCCTCCTCCCCAGGGCAGCAGGTCCTGGCCACGAGTGTGGCTGTGTGGCAGCAGAGCGTTCTGCAGAGAAGCCCTAGACAAAGCCTGGCCTGGGCTGCTCCCTAGAAGTGGAGGAGGGAACTCAGAGCCTGCCACCCTGGCCTCGCCTTCCCCTGAGACGCAATTTGTAAATGCCCATTTCTCTCCTATGTGACTGAGGACAGGGCCCCTCACCTGACTGCAGTTAAAAGCCTTTGAGGCCTGGTAAACACCTTTCCTGCCTTCCCTCCACACGAAACCCTACCAGCGGTGTGGTTTCAGGTCTCTGGTGCCTTCTAGGCCTCATGGAGCAGGGCAGAGGCCAGCTGAGGTGCTGGGGAAGGGGCAGAGACCAGCCTGGGCGGAGGGGGGTTGGCATGGACTGGTCACAGCCCCAATGTGTCTTTTTGGAGACCCTGTTCATTGCTCTGGTAGCACTGGCCTGGCAGTGGTGACCCCAGGGGCAGGACCCCCCCAGCGGTGGTGGCACAGCTGACCCGCGTGGCTTGCCTTTCCTTGACCCCACACACGTTCTTCAGCATGCTCATCATGTGCACCATCCTCACCAACTGCGTGTTCATGGCCCAGCACGACCCTCCGCCCTGGACCAAGTATGTCGAGTGAGTATCTTCTCCATGGGGCCCCTCCCTTGCTTTCCATTCCATGCCGTGGCTTCTGAGGCCGCCCCGGAAGGGGCTGTGTCCAGGCCCAGGGGCTTACCCGAGGCAGTGGGGAGGCCCTGGCCTCAGCTGCCACCCTCTTTTGACTTTCCCAGCCCTGCCAGCTTTTGGCTTTGAGTTGTGCCTTCTATGGAGGAAGCTTTCCAGATTGGCAAAGTAGGGAGTTTCTCCCTGTCCCACCTAAAGAGGAGTGATGACATTGGAGAAAGTTCTGAAATAATAGGAATGTATTAAGCATTTTGTGCACGCCAGGCACTCTCCATAAGAACAATAAGCATCATCTCCTTTAACCCTCATGGCGACCCAGTAGTGTGGGTGCAGCCACGTTGCCCGTTCCGCAGATGAGACTGAGGATTGGAGAAATAGCTGGCCTGAGCCACACAGCTGGGCGGCAGCAGCCGGGAGGTGCCCCAGGGCTCTCCCCACTTCAGTAACACCCTCTGCTGCCTTTTTTTTCCCCCAAGTCCTGCCTCCTGTAACCATTTGCACAGTTTGAGAAAACCGCCTCTGGTCTTTTCTTCTTGAATAGAAGTACCTTACCGAGAGGTTCTAAGCAGACTTGACACGCGCTGACTGCATTTGGCTGCTGTTTTGAGGAGGCCAGCAGCATGTTGGGGCAGCCTCTCTTCCCAAAGCAGCCTGTCTGGTCGTTCTCCACGTTCACACAGGGCCCAATAGCTCTCTCGGCTGGCACACGCAGCTGCTCCGAGTCCTGGGATGCGGTCCTCTCCCACTCCAGCCCTGGAGGCCCCAGTCCCAGCATGCAGGCATTGTGGGTTCCTTAGGCTGCCCCAGGCAGAGAGAACTGCACCCCCACTCCCACCAGCCCCAAGCATTAGAACATCAACACCCCTTCCAACCCAGGGTGGACAGCTGGACCTACCTCCCCTGTAAGCAGCTGAGGATTGACTGGGCCCATTGCTAGCTGCTGAGGCCCCATGAACGGGTGAGGGTCCGTGTATGCTGTCCTGTAGCACAAACCCTGTGGCCACTGTGTGCCAGTTATGCACACGGCCCCCCAGGGCTGGGGGAAGGATGGGACGGGGTTTTATTCCACCAAGACAACTGAGAGAGAAAACAGAGTTCAGTTGGACACATGGCAGTTACTCAATAATATGGAATTAACAGATTAGACGATGTATTCGTTAGCCAGATGTTTATAGCAAAGCTCCTTCCCCCAACTCCAGCTCAGCCATGGGGGCATTGCAGACAGCGTCGCTTGGTGGCCCCTGTAGAAGGGAGCTGTGTGGGCTCACACCATGTAGGGAACCTGCAGAACCTGGCCTGCTTGGGCCTCCCTGAGAAACTCCACTGGCCTCTCCCGCCCAGGTACACCTTCACCGCCATTTACACCTTTGAGTCTCTGGTAAAGATCCTGGCTCGAGGCTTCTGCCTGCATGCGTTCACCTTCCTTCGGGACCCATGGAACTGGCTGGACTTCAGCGTGATTATCATGGCGTAAGTATCTAATTTGCTGTGCTGTGCTGTGCCGTGCAGGCCACATGGGATGGGGTGTGCACCACCCCAGGCCCCGGACCACCCCTCTTTCTGGCTGCCTCCCTGCAGTCCACATGCACACAGGCTGGAGGAAGGCAGAGCGGAGGCCCTCAGCTTGTCCTGGTGGGCGGAGACGGCTCAGGCAGGCCTTGGTGGTCAGGCCCGCTGGCTCACCTGGGGCTCCACGGCAGCCCTGGGCTCCAGGGACATCATTAAGATTCCGGTTTCGTATCCTCTGCCCTTTCCACCAAGAGAAACCAGTATTTCTACCCCTGGCCCACTGTGAATGGTGACCTGGATTCCAAGATGATTAAGAATGAAATTGCAGTAAAGAGAAAGAGCCTGGAGCAGTGACTAAGCATCCCCAGAAACCCACCCAGGCGCACCAGCACATCGGCTCGCTCCGTCCACAGGCTGAATGTTTGGCACGTTTTAAAGCACCCGGCCACTGACAATACAGTGGATCCTCACACCAGCCAGAGACGTAGGCTACATGGGGATGGCCTAGCCCATTTTATGGGTGAGAAAACTGATACCAAGGACACAGGGAGCCTGCCAGGAGGTGAACGTGGCCCCAGGCCTGCTGCAGCCCAGGCTGAGGCCCCGCCTCTTTGCAAGGAGAAACTCGCTGAGGGGTCTGTCCTGTAATCCCAGCAATTTGGGAGGCCAAGGTGGGCAGAATCCTTGAGCTCAAGAGTTCAAGACCGGCCTGGGCAACATACGGAGACCCCATGTCTATGAAAAACACAAAAATGAGCTGGGCATGGTGGCACACACCTGCAGTCTCAGCTACTTGGGAGGCTGAAGCGAGAGGATCACTTGAGCCCATGAAGTCAAGGCTGCCGTGAGCTGTGATCACATCCCTGCGCTCCAGCCTGGACAGCAGAGCAAGACTGTCTCAAGAAAAGAAAAAATTAAAAAAGGCCTTTCTGAAGTCAGAGGACCTAGTGTGTGCAGGGCTGAGCACTGCACCTCAGCAGGGAGCAGAGCTGGTGAGGCTTAGGTCCCCTGCCCTTGCAAACCCTGTTTCCCAACATGTGAAAGGACATGTTGGGTGCTGTGGTGTCAGAAGCTCAATTCAGCTCCCACTTTCTAGGGTGCCTGTATCCCCGAATCTACCTACTGAAGACAGTCTTTAGCCCCGACGTGAGCAGCCCTGAGCTCCGCCATGCTGTGGGGGAGAGAGGGCAAAGAGGGAAGCTGAACCCTGAACCCTGAACCCTGAATCCTGGTGAATGGGGTGCTTTCAAGCTAGGCGGTGAACCTGGCAGTGGGAAAATGCGGCAGAATCTCTGTTTCTGGGTATACTATCTGTGAGCCAACTCTCGCCCACCGTTTTACAAGTGGGAAAACTGGCTCCAAGAGACAGTACCACATACTTGCCCCAAATCCAGTATGGACTTAGGCCTCGGTGGCACTGAGCGAGCAAGGGAAGAGTGGCAGGGGATGAAGTTACAGAGTAGTGGAATGGAGGACAGGTGGTGGTAAAAGCCAGGTGTGATGGGAGTCCTGGGGTGTAAGAACAGGCCGAACCGGGAGCTGCTTTGCATTCTGTAGAGACTCCCCTGGCTGTGGTGTGGACCACAGACTGGAGAAGGGGCAGGCGGAGGCGGGCAGAGTCGTTAGGAGGATCTCTTGGCAGCCAGGAGAGAAGGTAGTGACTGGAGCCAAGGACCACGTGGAGAAGGGGAGCATGTGGTCAGATTCTGGGGCTGTATTTTGCAGGTAGGGCTGATGGGAGGCCCCCCAGGGGGTTTTGGTTTGAGCAGATTCTGGATAGACGGTGTTCCCATTGGTTGAAATGGAAAATTGGAAAGAGCGGCACTGGCTGAAGCAGGAGGAAAGCAGAAGTCCAGAGTGGGATGTATGACAGTTGGAGGCACCCAAGGTGGGATACTGAGTAGGCAACTGAATATTCCGGTCTAGGGTTCAAGGAAGAGGTCCAGCATGGAGGTGTACATTTTAGAAGCCATGGGGATACAGGTGTTATTTAAAGCCAGGAGACCAGATGAGATCACCTAGGCAAGAGTGTGGCGTGTAACCTGAATACACTGTGGGGCGCTCTGACATCGGGAGGCCAGGAGCAAAGACTGGACCATGGAGGCGAGTCAGGAGAGAGAGGTGTCCGGGAAGGAATGTGATCTGCCGGAAACCCGCCACCGGGAGGCTGGGGAAGGCGGCAACTAAGAATGGACTGTAGGATTTGGCAGTGGGAAGGTCACTGGTGCCCTTGACAAGAGGGGTGCACCTGGTTAAGGAGGATTCAAGAGAGAGTGGGAGGAGAGGGCGTGTGGGAAGTAGAGACATCTGTTTTGTGGGGCTTGCTGTAAAATGGGACTGAAGATGGTGTGGTGATTGGAAAGGAATGTGGGTCAATCAAGGGAGGACTTTTAAAGAAGGGGGTGTCTTTGCAGGCAGGTGGAAGTGATCCATTAGAGAGGGGATGCCAGATGATGTAGATGAGCAAGGGGATTGCAGGAACCAAGCCCTCAAGCTGGCCCAAGAGGGTGGGAATCCAGCACCAAGGGGGAGCATCGACCTGAAGAGCGGGGAAGGCAGAGTTTCAGGTGGAGATGGAGGTGGATTGATAGAGTTGATGATGAAAGAAAAAGGAATTTCTCTTCTGATTGCTTCTATTTTCTCAGTGAAATAAGAAGCTTGATGATCAGCTGAGAACAGAGTGGGGAGACATGTCTGAGGTTTCAAAGAGAGGGAGAACTTTTCATGTCAGAGCCGGGGAGGTTGCACTGACTTGGGAATGGAGTAGGTTTGCCAGGCTGGGCCCTGGGGTGCCCTGTGGCTGGGAAGCAGTAATCCACAGGGTCCTGAGGCTGGGTGTCACAGGAAGGAAGGAGGTTTCAGGCAGGAGAGGATACAGCATCTGCCTGAGCCTTTCCTAGCTCCCCAACCTGGAACCTGAGCAACCTGCCACCATAGACGGACCCCCAGCTTGCTTTGGGGCAAGCTGTGGCTCAGGCTCTGTATCTGGGAGAATCCTGAGTGACCTCAGGCCCTTAGCAAGTCCTCCTTGCCCGACTCCTGGGAGAATCCTGGTTTCATTCCCAAAATGCTTCTTCCACTGAGAGTCACAAAGCAGGTGTGCCTTCCTCACCAAAACCTGCGTGCCTTCACTGTGTACCAGCGCTGGGGCTGACAAGGCAGAACATGGCCTCAGAAGCTCAGACACTCTCCGCATTTCCAAGCATCTCACAGAAATGGCACATCCACTTCCCATAGGGCTGTGTGACCTATTGGCACATCAGCTGTGGGCCCTTGGCTGGCCTGGCCTGGCAGCTTCAATTGATGGGGATTCTGCCTTATGAAAACCAGTTAATTACTGCATTTAAAATGCATTCTCTTAGAGATGCAGTGGTTCAGTAACAAGGGACTCTAGGTTGATCAAAGGAGACGTGAGTGAAGGGAAACATTCCGCTCAGTGAAATTCTCTCTCTGGCCTCCATTACACAGGTGGAGAAAGTGAGGCTCACAGAGAACCTGGCACCTGCCCAAAGTTATAGGCTGAATCAGCAGCAATGCTGAGACTCTGACCATGAGATGGATGGGAGAGGCACCCCCAAGTCTGATGTTTCTGTGGGGCGATCCTCCACCCCACTGATCTAGAGGCTGTGAGAGCGTCTGGGGCAGGGTGCTGGGAAGCCTGCCAGGCTCGGCTCTCAACCCCCCCAGGCAGAGCTCTTCCTGTGGCCCTACTCACAGAAGGGTGTTACCTGCTAGTTAGCACAGCCTCCAACCTCTGAGTTGTTATGGAAACCAAACCTGGAGGGGAAGGGAGGGAGGGCAGAGAGGAGGGTGGCAATTCCCATAGTCACTAACGGCGTGGGCTTCACCATCTCAAGATGAGGGCGGGGCAGGAAGAAGGCTTCCCTGCGCTGGGGCTGGTGATGGGATAGGATGCTCACCCACCACCCTTGGCTCTTTCTGTGCCAGGGCCAGCAGTCCCGTTCCAGCTGTCTGCCCCTGGCTAGCAGCATAGTCGTCACAAAAGGGGAAGACTGGCTTGGAGGAGGGTTTTGCCAGCCTGAGAGGGGCAAAGCTCCATCCCCTCACGCGACCACACATTTGCCACCTCCACAACTGGCCCTGTGTCATACCAGGCATTCCTCCTGCCCTGCCACACTCAGAGGACCCAAAAGTGGCCTCGGTGGGGATCTGGGCAGAATAAAAGAGGACAGCAGCCCCCCATGTCACCAACATGGTCCCGGACATTCAACATCCTTACCCTATAAGTCCTCTTTTAAGACTTCCTCTAACTTATGATTGCTCTCCCAGACAGACACACGGCCACCAGCTGCACTCCTATTTCCAGCCACTCAGCTGGCTTTGCAAGCCTGCCAGGAGCACAGATATGGTCCTCCCTTATTCTGTCATTAAGCTGTCCTTGTCACCTTAGGACACCAGCTGCCTAGAAGGCAGACAATGAATGGAGGCCAAGCACTGTCTGTGCTGGGGACACTGTGCTGGGGGCAGCTTCCACCCTGGGATGGGAAAAGACAGGCAGAATCTAAGCTAGAGACAGGCAGAGTTTTCAGTGGAGACACCAGGGGACAGACTGGGTCTGTAAGGGACAGGAGGGAAGCAAGGACAGTTGGTTCCCTCTCAGACCTGCACACTATTCCACTCACTCCCTGAAACTAGAAGAGACAGCCTTGAAACCAGTATCCTGGGCAAGGGGAGCTGCCTTCCCCGGCCACACTCAGTAGACTAGCAGCCGGAAAAGGGGCCCAGCGCCTCTGGCCAGAGCCCTGGTTTCCATGGGATGGTCACGTCAGCAATATCCCGGGCCCAGCCAGAAAGTCCTGTGGCAGCACCATGTCTGGATAGAGACCGAGAGAAGAATGTGGGACGGAGGCCTGAGGGTCTGAGCTATCGTGGAGAACGGAATAGCTCTCAGAAGTTGAGAGGGACCTTGGATCAAATTAACAGGTGTATATGGACCAGAACAAGCACAGTGACTTCTGCTCCCCAGCACATGATGGGACTGCATCTGACTGCCACACTGGAGAAAGATGGGCATGCTGAAGTCCATGCAGGCGACAGAATGGAAACCATACCACAGAAAGGGTCTGGTGTCGCCAGAGGAAAGCAAGCTCTGGCAATGTGTCTGCCGACGCCCCATCTGTGTAGGGCTTTGTAAGGAGAGATCAGCGTGGTGCATAGGGCCAGGTGAAGATGGAGGGGCTCCTCCAGTGGATATAGAAAAAGCTGGTGCCAGCCCAGTGTCAATTACAGCCAGACCTGCGGACCTCAGGGCACCAAGCCCCTTACTCAGCTGGCCAAGTTCTTTCCTGTAGGTATCCAAAGCCTGACGGGGAACTGGAAAGCTGGGAACAAACAGGAAGGGCCTGGAGGTCCAGATCACCCAGCAGAGGGAGTCTAGTGGCAGTGCCAGCCCACCCTCACACTCTCCCAGAGCCACGGGGCTGACGTCCTGTGTCTGACATCACTCAGACACCTGCGTCAGGCGCACTTGGTTAAACATCAGACATGCAGAGTCCAGTGTCCTTTGCTAAACACCAGACACCTTCGGTTAAATGTCAGACACCCTGGATGCAAAGCCTTTGATTAAATGTCACAAGTTACTTGCCACTGTTCCGATGACCTTGGTCACACACCGGCCATGGTCCTCATGGTCATGTGGCCCATCTACTGCATGTCAGCATGCTCTGCTGGCGCAGATCCCTGACCCCCAGAGACCACCTTCTTCCTCCCGTCCCTGTGGAGGCCACAGATCGGCAACCGTCTGAGTTCCAGGAGGGGACCCACAGCCACTCGCCCTGCTGAGCCTCACTCAGACCCAAGAAGCACAGACCCCAGGGAGGGCATCTCGCCTCTGAAGGCTGCTCCTCCAGTGGAGACCCAGGGCCATCCCTTGAAGATACCAAGGGTCTGGGGCCGGTGGACTTGTGTGGGAGGTGCTCTACCGCCCTGGGGCTCTTCATCCTGTCCCTGTCTCTTCTTGGGTTGCTCCTTGCCCGTGAGTAGTTGAAGAACAGATATTCAGGCAACCTGTCTTCCCATCTTCCAGTGCCTCTGTCTTGGGAACTCTGGTTTTTTTCAATGAGTATTCAGGCTACCTCCGCCTCAGGACTTCAAGGACTTCTGAGCCTGGCACAAGCTGATCACAGACCACAGAAGATGTGGACCAAAACTAGGTGCAGAAACGCACTTGCTTCCTGTATCAGCTGACCTGAACCTCCCGGAACACACGCTTCCCTTTCACTCTGATGTGTTCCCCGCCGCAGACACCACATGTGGCTTCGTGTCACGGGCTTCAGTGGTATGGAGACAGTGGCAGAGTGGCTGCCTCCTAGCACCGGTTTTCCATGGCACTGTCACCAAGAGAGCCACCTGGAAGCTTGCTGTGTGGACATCCTTGCTGTGTGGCACTCAAGCTGAAATCCTGTGTTAGGAGGGTTGAAATCCAGAAGAAAACCTGAGGGAGGCCCTGGGCTATCCACAACACTCCCCCACCCCTCCTTGGTGGGAGGGGGCCAAGGGAGAGGGCTGGTCGGGGAGGGCAGGTGGAGGTTCTGCTTTGTAATTCCCAATAACTGTGGTTTGATTCTGCAGGTATGTATCAGAAAATATAAAACTAGGCAATTTGTCGGCTCTTCGAACTTTCAGAGTCCTGAGAGCTCTAAAAACTATTTCAGTTATCCCAGGTAAGATGCCCAGGTTTGCCTCTCAGATCTCAGCTACAAGTGACTCTCTCTCTGTCTTCCCCACCCCTCTCCTCCTCTGACTGTGTGTCTTGTATTGGCGTGTTGTCGTTGTCTCGTGTGTGAATTTCCCTTGTTGCAGATACACAACTGAATTTGTGGACCTGGGCAATGTCTCAGCCTTACGCACCTTCCGAGTCCTCCGGGCCCTGAAAACTATATCAGTCATTTCAGGTGAAAATCGGGTTAAACGCCAAGGCTGGAGGGATATGCCTGGGCCTTCCCAGCCTCCTGGGAGCCAAGGCAACCCTCCAGAAGGCCTTTCGACTGTGCCTGTCACCAGAATACCTTTCCCAGGGCTCAGGTGGCAGGCGCTATTGGCAGTGGACCTGCCTGTCCCCCTGGCACCTCAGAATGGGCTTCAGGCTGCCCACCCCAGCAAAGCCCACTCTCACAGACACCAGGGGGCATAGAGCACCCCACGGTGGGGCCTACATTGAACCCAAATGTTTTCCAAGATAGTAGACTGCTTTTCCAAACCACACTCAGCTATTTGAATAGCTAAAAGATTTTACATGAATCGCTTCAGCCCGAAATGTCAGCTTCTGATGAGGAAGCCAAAAGAAATATGTGTGAGGGCACCCCCATACACACCCGAAATGTAAAAGGAAAACTCCGGCAGTCTTTGATGACTGAAGGCCTCGGCCTGCCTTGTGCCCTGTCTGGTGGGATGAGCAGGGCCAGGGCCCCAGCCCTGTTTGTGAAGCAAAGCGTACTCTGTGGACAGGCGCCATCGGGCCTTGGTGTGCAGTAGAGGTTTAGCAAACCACGCATGGTAACCTCAGGAAGAAATTCTCCTTGGCAGATGTTGGCAATTGCGCCTGGGAAGTCTCCTAAGCCCAGGTGGCCTCTCTAGAAACTGTTCCGTTCGTCCATCCAGGAAAACTCTGAAAAGACTGTGATTTCTGACCCTGGTTGTGTGATGTGCCCGTGCTGAAGCTGAGTTCCACCTGGGAGACGTTCCTATCCTAAGTTTGAATTCCCCCTCCCCAGACTCAAAGCTCCTCCTGTTTGGAGGAACTTCCTCTGGAGGAGCAGTACCCAGAAGTTCCTGCCAGGATTCTTTTCTGAAGGCAGCCACACTTAGAACTGGGGAAGTTGCTTCTTTTAAGAAGGCAGCTTGGCCGGGCGTGGTGGCTCACGCTTGTAATCCTAGCACTTTAGGAGGCCGAGGCAGGCAGATCACCTGAGGTCAGGAGTTCAAGACCAGCCTGGCCAACATGGTGAAACCCTGTCTCTACTAAAAATATAAAAATTAGTTGGGCGTGGTGGCACACTCCTGTAATCCCAGCTACTCGGGAGGCTGAGGCAGGAGAATTGTTTCAGCCGGGAGGTGGCGGTTGCAGTGACCCAAGATCACACCACTATACTTCAGGCTGGGAAGACTCTGTCTCAAAAAAAAAAAAAAAAAAAAAAAGAAGAAGGCAGCTGGAGATAAGCCGCAGGCTGTCATTCTGGGGAGGTGTGAGAGCAGAAGGGAGGATCGGTTGAACCAGATGGCTACATCACTCCTGATGTGGAACCTTGTGGCTTCCAGGCCTGTGGCCTGCTTTGAGCTGTTATCTCCCCCAAGGAGTCAGGGCTCCCATAAGGAATCCGGACTCCCCCTTGTAGGGCTAGTTATCTTGTCAGAGGAGCCCCCGTTTATACCGTGTTCACGCTGAGCTTTCTGGCCTCTCAACCCACTATCGTATGTTCATAAGGGCCACATCTCCCCTGGGGCTCCCACAAGTGGCCCAGACCCCTGCTAAGGGCCCGTAGCAAGGGGGCAGTCTCCCCACTGTCTCCCATGGAGCCACCTGCCTGGAGACAGACATCACTGCCAAGGCATACATAGACTCAGAGCCCACGCGCTCTGTCCTCTAGGGCCCGGGACAGCCTCACAGGCACACACCCCACCACAGTAGACAAACACACTGACCACAGGACTCAAGGCATGTTCCTGGTGTGTTTTATAACAAAGATTTACAAAGGGAAATATTTCTCAGTCCTGGGGAAAAGGAGAAGCCCGCCAGTCTCAGCCTAGCTCCATGGGATCTCTTCAGAGCTGCCAGCAACCTGGTGAGACAGCAGGCTCTGAAAGTGGCCATTCGAAAAATGCCATGGTCAGCATTATGGAAGGCTCTCGGGAGGAGGTATCCTCTGAGCTGAGTCTTAAATAGCCCTAGTTCTCTCTAGACTCAGTCTCTTTTCCATAAAGTGAGAGTGAAATCAGAGTTGGTGGTTTCCGAGGGCTCTTCCACCCAGCCTGTTAATTCAGTGGCAGGAGGATTTCCCAGTCAGTCTCCTGGGGCCCATGCCTTCCTGGGTCGTTTCTGAAAGAATCCTGCAGTTTCGTTGGAGAAGTGAAGTGATGATTTCTCATATCATCAGTATGAGAAATGTTCAAAGGGGTGAGTTACCCTTGGCCAGTGTCTCCACAAAGCAGGTCGGGGGTGCTTTGTTGGCCTTGAACGGGATATTTCAGCCCAAAGAGACTTTAGCCTAACAGCTGAGGCAGAGACCAGTCTGGGTATTCGAGCTGCTGTCCATCATCCTCACTTTGTTCCCCTGGAGACATGCAGGTCTCCAGGCCCAGTAAACCCACCAAAGGGTACAGGAAGCTCTGCTGCAGATGAGGAGCTCTGGGCCATGAAGAGCTGCGAATCCCACCACCACCACGGCCGTGGGCCCAGACCCCCACTGCCCAGGCAGTTGCCAACATCTGCCAGGACGATTTCCACAAGGAAGGCTGAGTGCCTCTGAGCCCTGGGCGGGCAGCAGCGTCAGTGGCACCATGGGGAGGTCATCCTCTCCCCATCTTGTGTTTGCCCACTGTGGCCTCCTTGCCTGTGCGTCACAGGCCCAGCAGCAGGCACAGAAGCCACAGGTGCTCCTAACACATTAACCGGCTGGACAGTGGATGGATGGAGCTTAACCTGAGATCTGGCCGCTTGGACAGGGACATGAGGGGCAAGGCCGTGCCGCTCGCAGAGGAGCCCCTCATTCCCCATGCTCTGCTTGCACTTGTCCTAGGAGAGTCGCTTAGAGCCAGACTGGTGTCTACATGTGCTTTTCTGTCATTCGCTGTGTGGTGCTGGCTTCTGCAGGGAGCTGGGCTGCGCACCTAACAGGTCACAGCCTCTCGGCTGTGGGGAATGCGATGGATGGGGCGGGGACGGTCCTAGAGGGACAGGGCAAGTGGGAAGATGCAACGCAGGTCAGCCCTGCTCCTGAACCTTCCCTAAAGGCAGACCTGAGCCAGCGCAGGCCCCTGAGACATCACCCACAGCCCCCAGCACACACCTGACCACAGCCCCCACCCCCTACCCAGCCAGACCGTGCGCCCCTAATTTCCTCCAAACAAGCGATATTCCCTGGGCACCAAAGAGAGCCGGCCCCCGCAGTGGGACAGGAGGACCCCCTAGCATGGATGGCTCTGTTTCTCCCAGCTCAGGATTGAGGCTGAGGCCCCTTCGTTGCCTCCATCCCCTTTTCCATGGACGACATTCAAAGCAGTAGGCCTGGCATACCTTGAGACCAGCCAGAGGGGGGCATGCTCTGAGTGTGTGTTTTCTCAAGGAAGCAGCACTTTCTACATCCCTGCCATGTATTTGGCTGGTGGAGAGCAAGGAGGAGCAGGGGCCCTCTGAAAATACAAGGCCAGCCTGGACTCCTGCCCAGGGATGTCAGGACACAATCTCAGCTGCCGAGGAAAGCGGGGCTCGGGTCTAAAGCCTAGGAGAAGCCTCCCTCATTCTGTCCCACCTCCGATTGCCCACTCTGGCCCCAGCCCAGCTCACCTCAGACCTGGCCCCCACCAGTGGAGCACAGAGCTCAGTGCCCAGGTGACCTGGGGCTTGTCCTTGCCTTCCCCAGGCCTGAAGACCATCGTGGGGGCCCTGATCCAGTCTGTGAAGAAGCTGGCTGATGTGATGGTCCTCACGGTCTTCTGCCTCAGCGTCTTTGCCCTCATCGGCCTGCAGCTCTTCATGGGCAACCTAAGGCACAAGTGCGTCCGCGACTTCACCACGCTCAATGGCACCAACGGCTCCGTGGAGGCCGACGGCTCGGTCTGGGAATCCCTGGACCTCTACCTCAGTGACCCAGGTGCGGACTCGCTCTGCAGCTGGGGAGGGCTTTGCCAGACCAGCAGGGCAGGGGTGCCTCCCACACAGGCATCACCAGAGGGCAGACCTCCAGGGCTGTTCAAGCACCACCTCATCCCCCAGAGACTCAGACTGAGGACAGACAGGGAGCAGACCTGGGGCCTGCCTTGTGACTTCTCGGGCTGGATGGGGAGGTGATGCGTGAAGAGCAGGAAGGATGGAGTTAGGTGGAGGGGCAGATGGGGGGGACAGCAGCTGCAGCACTGGGAGATGGGATGGACCCTAGAGTGTTGCAATGGCAAGGTGACCAGCCTGCCACAGAGTGTCAGCTTAAGAAAGAGGGGGGACACAGAGCCGGGGTAGTTGGCTTCAGGCTAAAACCCCCCCTACCTGGCATGGAGATTTCCCGGTCGACATCAGTGTTCCTTGCTAGGATGCTAATTCCATATACGTGTACCCCAGAACTCTGCAAGAGGGCTGGAGCAAGCCCAGTGGTTGTGCCAAGGTGTGTGAGCCCCTCCGATGTTTCACTGCTCCATGGCTCACACGCCCACGCTCCAGGCTGACGGCCAGCACCACTCTTGACTAGAGCCATTGGTCTGCTTCATGGCACATGCTGGCACAAGGCCAGATTCCAGGCCACAGGACCCTGGGCCAGGATGACCCTGAGGGCCATTCTGAAGTTAGGGCCTCTTCCATACACCAGAGTCCACTTTGGAAAAAGGAACATAGACACTTAATGAGTAGTTCAGCAACGGCCTTATAGCAGCGGGGCTGAGACTTCCGTGTGCTCCTGAATCACCTAGAGAGCTCTGGAAAACAGGCTGTTGGGCCCCACCTCTGGAGTTTCTGAGTCAGTGGTTCTGGGTGGCAATCGGGAAGTTGCATTTCTAAGCAGTTCCCAGTTGATGCTGATGATGCTGGTGTGAGGACCATGCTTTGACAGCTGTTGCCTAAGACAAAGCCAGAAGGCGGTGAGTGTCGGGACTGATGACAGCCACAGAGAGAAGAGGACAGGGTGGGGTGTCCTGTCTGGGGCAGTGCCAGCCCCATCCAGACAGACCACGGTGTTGCCATGGTGACTATGGCAGGCGTCACTTCCACCATTTTGTGTGACGGAAGTGAGTACACAGCTGTGCGGGAGCTGGCCGAGGCCCCGCAGCGACTCGGCAGCCAAGCTGGGAGTCTGCGCAGGCCCTTGCCTCCTGGCCTTGGCAGGCCCCCTCAGTGGTTTCGGGCAGGGCGTAGAAGCTTCCTGGGGGGACAGCTGAAGCCCTGCCCAGAGCCTCCCATGTCTTCTGAGAGCATGGGGCACTGGCGGCAGGATGCCCACAGAGGAGCAGCAGGAAGGCCAGAGGACCAGCCGGAGTTGCCTCAAGCCTGGCCAGGCAGAGGGCAGGGGCAGGGCGGGCGCCGGGAAGAAGGAAGACCATTAGTGAGGTCCCCACCTCCCCAAAGCCCTGGGTGCAAGGTGGGAACTTTTGCCAGAGGGCCCTCACCGTCATGATGTTTCTCTTACAGAAAATTACTTGCTCAAGAACGGCACCTCCGACGTGTTACTGTGTGGGAACAGCTCTGACGCTGGGTATGTGGCACCGCCCACCCCGGGTCTCCTTGTCCTGCCAGGGGAGTCTCCTGGTGTTTGCACAACTGACTGTATTTTCTATTTATGCCCTGACCCCAGGGACAGCAAGGCCTTCTTTTGTCTCCCTTCCCTGCCAGGACCCCGCCAGCTTCCCCACCCTGCCCCCAGCAGAGGAGATGGCTGCTGGAGGAAGCCAGGGGCAGAGCTGCGGGGAGAGCTGACGGAGCCCTGAAGCTGGGCTGGGACTGGGGGATAGCTTGAGATGCCTGCACAGCCCCGCCACCAGCCCGCCACCAGCTTCGTTCCCTTCCAGAAGCTCCCCAGAACTGCTCCCTCCAACTCCGGTCTTCCCTCCCTCGCTGCTGCTCTGTGCCTCAGAGGGAATGTGCTTTCCCCAGCAGCCTGGACTTCCCTCGAGATGCCCAGTAACAACGTGCAGCTTCCGGGGCCCTGTGCACACCCGGGTCCAGATCAGTGTGACAGTGCCATGCAGTGTTGAGAAGGGGTCACAGAGGGTCACCTCATAGGAGAAGTACTGAGTGTGCTGCCTCCTTCCTGTCACCAAAGAGATTGTCTGGAGGATCTTGGGGCATTAGCAAGACACAGAGGTCCCTTGGCTGTATCCATCTGCTTGCTAAGTCCCTCGTGTGTGTGTGTGTGTGTGTGTGTGTGTGTGTGTGTGTGTGTCTCACACACACGCACACACACATGTGACCCCAGACCAGCATTTCCTCTTTGGGAGAGAGGCTGTCACCTCCAGCTCTGTGAACATGGATCACCTCCCTAAACCAGTGCCTGTGTGCACCGCTGCACAAATGGGCTCCTGACATGGCCAAGCCCTAGCCCATCCCCTCCAGAATCATTTCTCAGCCCCAGGGCCCTGCCTTTGCCCTGGGCTCGTCCTGTTCAACTCGGCCAAGGCTCACTTCTCTCCCCAACCCTGCTCTCCCCTGTGCCGTGCTGTACGCAGCTCCTCATGGGGTAGACAGGCAGAGGAAGAGACGTGAGCCAGGCCTGGTGCTTCCTCTCTGTGGGGAGAGGCAACTTGATAGCAGCTGAGGATGGAGTGTCGTATGGGCAGAAGGGAGTTTGATTTAGGCCCGGCAGAGTACAGATAGGTAGAGTAAAGAGGAAGATAGTGTCCCAGTGGGAGGCACAGCACAAACAAAGTCACAGAGGCAGGGCCCAGCAGTGTGGCACTAGGTTTTATAGCTCAGTTGCGCAGAGTGGTGGGGCATACACTGGGTTGCCCGGGGAGAGAGAAGTCTGGCCCAGCAAGGGTCTCAAGGGCAGCAGACCCCTGACTGCATGGAACAAAGCCTCTGTGTGTGGCTGCAGGACATGTCCCAAGGGCTACCGGTGCCTAAAGGCAGGCGAGAACCCTGACCATGGCTACACCAGCTTCGATTCCTTTGCCTGGGCCTTTCTTGCACTCTTCCGCCTGATGACGCAGGACTGCTGGGAGCGCCTCTATCAGCAGGTGCGTGTGTGCCCAGAGGGACAGGAGGTATGGGCTCAGGGTCCAGGCTACACAAGTGACTAGCCAGATGTGGCCCCAGCAGCCTCCCCACTGGTGACAGCTTTGGAGGGGACAGGGGACAAGGACCCTTGCTTCTGAGGGAGAAGGGATCATCAAGCAAAGAACCTTTCTTTTTGCTGGTGAGGAAGTACCAGTCCCTTTATATAGGATGCTCTCTGCTCTGTGAGGGGGACACTTCCTCTCTGTAGAATGGAGTAGTCTCCCTTGTGGGCACAGCATCCCCCGAGTGTGACATTCTGCCTCCCTCCTTGGGTGGGATGCAGCCCTGCTGTGTGCAGGTCATTCTCCTCTGCAGGTCACACATGTCTCTCTCTTTAGATGGGACATGCTCTACCCTCCTCCCTAGGCTGTGGGCGTTTGCACCCCTGGCACAACTAGACTAGGTGACTTGGAAATGTCATAACCCAGAAGGGGCCCCAGCGAGGGTGACACCTGCCCCTTTGATCCCGCAGACCCTCAGGTCCGCAGGGAAGATCTACATGATCTTCTTCATGCTTGTCATCTTTCTGGGCTCCTTCTACCTGGTGAACCTGATCCTGGCCGTGGTTGCCATGGCCTATGAGGAACAAAACCAAGCCACCATCGCTGAGACCGAGGAAAAGGAAAAGCGCTTCCAGGAGGCCATGGAGATGCTCAAAAAAGAACACGAGGTGGGTGAGCAGTGCCACCAAGGAGCCCCCAACCCCTCGCCTGATTATGGGTGCCTATAGGCAGGGTAATTGCTGGGTAAAGCTGGTGCCTGTGGGCATGGTGCATTCTGGGTAAGGCTGGTGCCTGTGGGCGTGCTGCATGCTGGGTAAAGCT